TTAGAATGTATTTCAAAATATAATTAATAAACACATAATGTAATTTATTAAATCAATAAACGGATTCTAGATTCTCTTTTTTTTTCCACTCAGAGAAAATTTTAGAAAAAAATATTTTATTCAATTTGATTATAAGCAATATATATTTTTACTCATATGTCGAATGTATTACTTACCCTTGATTCAACCAAAACGTAATAAACTTGATCATCACTTTCATATACGCTAGGAAGCTACTTAAACAGTCCATTAAATTAAAAAGATCATCGGAATGAAAATGTGTTAGAAGGTACCGATAATGGTAAAATTGCACCGCTATTATACTAATAATCCAGAATATTCTACAAAATGGAACGCACGAAGTATGTGGCCATATTCCGAATAAAGTGAACATAATTTCTATTGTACGATTAATTGTGCTTTTCCGGATCATAACTTTCTGTTTTCCTTTCGATTGTTTATATAATGTAAACACACTAAAATGTACAACAAATACTTTTAACAAAACGAAAAGGAACACAATGAGCTTGATTACGTATTTTATTTTCGGTGTACGTTTCAACGATAGATTGATGTACAGATAGAATTGTTGCGTAAAGACTAGGCGTTTCTTAAGGAGTCATCGCACAAATTTACTCGTGAATTATAGATCAAAAATTATGGAAGAAAAACCTCTTCATTAATTATTTTTATCGTACTGCATGCAAATGCCATCGCTACACCTGTCGTAGGTCCTGGTGATTTTAACAAAAAGAAAAGAACAAGTAGAGTCATCTTTCTCTTCCTCGAGGGCTGATGGTAGTCATAAATTGCTTGTTTTAAATATGCAACGATATGCATGGATATAGCTACGGTACATTCGATTCCAATTCGTGTTCAGCGAGCCTTGAAAACGTCTTGAAGTTTGGAAGATAACAGAAAATTACTGTATATGTACTTCGTGTTTAATATATTTCTACTATGTTAGTCATCGGCTTCAGAAAAGATTTGTCTTTTCATATAAAACTTAGGTATGACGTGGTGATTTTAAAATATTTCAGCTTATTGCAACTTTATGTTATATTTTATATTTCTATTACTTTTTTATCTCATAAAATATGTTTGGAAAAATACGAAATATTACAATGTGTTAGTGTAACTAGTGAAGACATATTTACATATTGCCTCTGCACATGCTTCACGACTATTGATTAAAAGTTACCGGGATGAAATTGGTGATATGATGTTTATTGCATTGCCAGTAACACTGACAGGTAGGACCCCGAAGCATTCATGATCTATAACAATGTTGTTTGCGTCAGTTAATATTTTTCCAAACAAATTATATTATTTTAATGAAAGAAACTCTGATAATTTTGTGCAATGATATAATGCGATAAAGATAAAATTTCTAAATAATTTTCTATTTTATTTGAATCTTACACTTGCAAATGATTGTAATGTGAGATCCATCATTTTGCCAGCTGTTAGCGTTAATTGCCTTTGGGATCTTAATATTATGAATAACAAAATACGACTGTCTTTAGGTTTTAAATTGTACCATGCGCAACTATATGTTGCAAATCCGACTTGTTTGCTCTATAGAAAAGAAAATAATAAATATTTTAAATGTTATATTTTATTTTATATATTTATAAGAAAAATATATGAAATTATCTTTACTAATAATAATGATTTGTTCTTTGTTGCAGTAATTATCTTTCAGGTCTAACCTTATTGTTCAGATATTCTCCGGCGTAACAAAATATGAATGCCTCCAGATTCGTCGTCGTAAAGAATAAAAGACATTTTATAATTTGTTCCATGACATCAGGAGTACCAATTGCCTAAAGAAATGAAGAAAATATATAATAGCATTATATAATATTCAGGTTACAATTAATTTTTAATAAAATATAAAAATTCTTTTCCGTAATATGTTAACTTTACTCACGGTTACAATAAGAAATCCCAGCGAACAAATCAACATTGTGTTTGATGCGAATAACACTAATGCAATTTGCGTATATAAGCTTTCGATGTTTTCTGAGAATTGTATAATTTTTTGATGCTTTAAAATAATTTTTTTTGTTGCAATAACAATTGACAATTCTTTATTTTTTATTTCTTCGGGTGTGAGTTGTGCCAACCAGTATTGCAGAATGTCTATTTGGCCGCCTATATGTAGAACCTGACAGCAAAAATAAAACTTTCAACAGGCAATTTCTATTTAAGCATATATAGATATTTGTAAAAATAAAGTAAGTTACAAGCAATCGGTGTTTCAAACTAATAAAGAAGATATCAATAGTTTATATAAATATTATCAACAAAATTCAATAAGACGATTATACAAATAATACATCTGACAGGATTCTTTATTATCAATTTTTCAAAATTAAATATTTATTAAACTTTTATTTAATTTATATGACGTTTAATATAAAAGTTTAATATAAAAGTCAAAAAGATTTCGTAATATTATAATATTGTATACCTTTAGTTACAATTGTTCGTATAATAACTTACCATAGCCAAAAGTATGGCATTCACGGTACCAGCTGCCAAATTACAAAGAATCATATGTAGAAACTCCATAATTAACACAGACCTATACATATTCCGCGTGTTAATGCTGAATGGAAGCTCTAATTTGTTGACAAAGGGCAATTCGACCATTGTTTTATCAGTAATATCGGCATCGGCGATAATCACTCCCATACAATACGCAACGATAGTCACTGTATAGAGTACAAGAATCACATTTGTGATGCGATCTGATATTTTCGCTTTGTATGTCGCCATACGCACGCTGATGTCACTTTTAGCGCAATCATTCCAATCATCCGTAATTAACGCCAAAATCTCCGCAAATTTTCTGTGGACGATTGCGTTCCTCGATCAAGCTGTTGAATTTAAATAAAAATCCTATTCATCGCGTCACGGAAAGCATATATTTAGAAACATTTCCTTTTTGATTGAGACAGAACAATGTTAGCGTCATTTCCTGCCTTAAATGAAATTTTATCTTACATATTCTATAGCTTTCCTTTAGTTTTTTCGAAAATTACAAATAAGACATAAAATAAATACATAAAAAAACAGTAATTATATTGTTGGTTTTGAGCGTTATATAATAATAGCGTTATTAATAAATGTGTCAATTATCTTAATTTTAATTAAATATATGAAATAACTGAACTATAAATAGCAATAGAAGTTTTCAAATTAAAACATTGAAATATCTTTGACAAATTTATTTGCTTTACCTACCGTTGATTTATCCAGAATGCAATAAGTTTAGCAATTACTTTTGCATGTGCCAGGAAGCTGCACAGGCAATCCACCAAGTTGAAAAAATTGTCTGAACTTAAATGCTTCGAAAAATAAAGATAGTGACAGAATTCTATAAACGCTATTGTAACAATCCAAAACACTCTGCTGATCAAAAGAACCAATTTATTTGAACAAATACCAAACCAGGGAAGCATCATAAATATTACACGGTTAATTGTGCTCTTACGAGACATAATTCTTTATTTCTTTTTTCACTTCGTTATATTCAAATTGGTGCATTAGAAAGTATCTAATATTTTTAAAGCAAAATCACAGAAACACACTGCCGCTAAATGTATCTTCCAATGAGAGCAAAATATACTATTGGATGTCTGCGTGAAGATTGAGCATTGTGGGAGGTGTTCAAACAAGTGCACTCTCTAACAAATCGACCAATGGGAGTTGCTCATAAAATATTTTTACATGCATGCAGATCTCAAATACACCTGTCATATTCCCTTCATATTCCCCCTAATTTTGTGAAAAAAAGGGAACTGTAAAATATTCTTTACTCGCCTTTGATATCTGCAATGATAGCCCCTACAAAACTACGAAGAACATATTAAATGTATGGAGTAATACGTATGGAGGAATATTGTTTGTTACCACGAGAGAATGCTTTCAATTTTATTCATCATTGCCATAGCTCTTCCTGAAAATCGCCCACTGATAGCAAATGAACAATAATGTTTTATATGAAAAAATTATAGCAGTACCAGATGTAGGCATGGGCAATCTAACATCATTGATTTTATCTTAGTCTTACATTGCGTTGATTTGTGACAGTGACAGATGTCATTTTTTAGAGTATTTTGCACATGTGTATACATACCTTACTATTTTTTTCATATTAACAAATCGGAAAATTATTAGATGTATTTTTTAATGCTAACATGATTTATATTATTCGATGCTTGCATTCAAATTAAGGCAATATAAAAAATGTTCATGTGTGCTTTCATGATAAATAAACCAGTCGGAACTGCTTACAAAATATTTTTATAGTGCTTTTTTATAGTGCAGCTCTTAAACATGTCCATCGTTTTCGTGCAACTTTGTTGAAAAAAGAATAAATCATTTATTTTTTATTTGTCACAAAAAGAAGAGAACAGGTAGGGTCATCTTTCCTTTCCTCGAGGATTCATAGTAGTCACAAATTGCTCGTTTTAAATATGCAACCATATGCATGGGTATAGCTACGGTACATTCGATCCCAATTTGTGTACAGCTTTGAAAACGTTTTGAAGTTTGGAAGATAACAGAAAATTAGTATATATGTATTTTCGTGTATAATATTTCTACTATGTCTACGGTCTCAGAAAAAGATTTGTCTTTTTATAAGAAACATAATATGACGTGGCAGTTTTATGGAAAATATTACAGTTTATTACAGCTTTATGTTATATTTTATGTTTTTATTATCTCTTTATCTCATAAAATATGTTCGGAAAAATACGAAATGTTACAATGTGTTAGTGTAACTAGTGAAGACATATTTACATACTACCTCTATACATGCTTCACGACTATTGACTAAAAGTTACTAAGGTGAAGTTGGTGAGATAAATGTTTATTGCATCGCTAATAGCACTGTCAGGTAGGATCCCGAAGCATTCATGATCTATAACAATGTTGTTTGCGTCAATTAATATTTTTCTAAACAAATATTATTTTAATAAAAGAAACGCTGATAATAAAAGATAATTTTGTGCAGTAATATAGTGCGATAAAGATAAAATTTATAAAGTATAATTTTTTGTTTTATTTGAATTGTTTTATTTGAATTTATCTTACACTCGCAAATGATTGTAAAGTTAAATCCATTATTTTGCCCGCTGTTAGCGCCAATTGTCTCTGGGATCTTAATATTATGAATAACAATATACGACTGTCTTTAGGTTTTAAATTGTACCATGGGCAATTATATATTGCAAATCCGACTTCTTTGCTCTATAGAAATAAAAATAATATATATTTTAATATTATATTTTATTTTACATACTTTTATAATAAGAAAAGTATATGAAATTATATGTATATTTGCTAATAATAATTTGTTTTTGTTACAGTAATTATTTTTCATCTCTAACCTTGTTGTTCAAATATTCTCCGGCATAACAAAATAAGAATGCTTCCATATTCGTCGTCGCGAAGAATAAAATAGACTTTATAATTTGTTCCATGGCATCAGGTGTACCAATTGCCTATGAAAATATATAATAACGTTATATAATATTCCAAGTACAATTAATTTTTATAAAATATAAAAATTCTTTTTTCTAATGTAATTGACACTCACAGTTACAATGAGAAATCCCAACGAACAAATCATCATTGTGTTTGATGCGAATAACATTAATGCAATTTGCGTATATAGGCTTTCGATATTTTCTGAAAATTGTATAATTTTTTGATGCTTTAAAATAATTTTTTGTGTTGCAATAACAACTGACAATTGTTTATTTTCCATTTCTTCAGGTGTGAGCTGTGCCAACCAGTATTGCAGGATATCTATTTGACCACCTATATGTAGAACCTGACAGCAAAAATTCAATTTTAACGGGCAATCTTTATTTAAAGATGTATAGATATATGTAAAAGAAAATAAACTATAAAAACTATAAACAGTTTAAAATGAAAAAAGTATCAGTAGCTTATATAAATATTATCAACAAAATTTAATAAGACAATTATACAAGTTCAACATTCTGAAAGAATTCTTTATCATCGATTTTACAAAATTAAATTTTTATTAAACCTTTATTAAATTTACGTGCTTTTTGTTTATTACAAAAGAAAATTTGTAATATTATTATAATTTGATAGATTTCTTTATTATTAATTTTTACAAAAGTAAATTTTTATTAAACTTTTATTAAATTTATACGTTTTTTTATTCAACATAAAAAATAAAAAAATTTGTAATATTATTACAATTGTATATTTTAAGTTATAATTGCTCATATAGTAACTTACCATAGCCAAAAGTATGGCATTCACCGCGCCAGCTGCCAGATTACAAAATGTCATATGTATCAACTCCGTAATTAATACAAGTCTATACGTATTCCGCGTGTTAACGCTGAAAGGAAGCTCTAATTTGTTGACAAGAGGCACCTCGTCTATCGTTTCATCAGTAATATCGGCATCGGCGATAATCACTCCCATACAATACGCAACGCAGGTCATTGTGTGACTTACAAGAATCACATGAGTGATGCGATCTGATATTCTTGCTTTGCATGTCGCCATACGCTCGCTGATGTCACTTTTAGCGCAATCATTCCAATCTTCCGTAATCAACGCCAAAGTCTCCACGAATTTTCTGTGGATGATTGCGTTCCTCGATCAGCTGTTGAATTCAAATAAAAACCTATTCATCGCGTCACGGAAAGCATATATTTAGAAACATCTCCCCGCCGATTAAGACAGAATGTTAGCGTCATTATTTTTGTTAATTAAAATTTTATTTTACATATTCTATAGCTTTCCTTTGTTTTTCAAAATCACAAATAGCAATAAAATATTAAATACGTAAAGAAACAATAAAATAATTATATTGTCGCTTTTGAGCGCTGTTAATAATATGAATCAACATCAATTACCTTATAGTGTAATTAAACATATATACAATTAAATATATATATATATATATATACAATAACTGAACTGTAAATGGCAATAAAAATTTTTCAAATTAAAAAATTGAAATAATTTTGATTAATTTACTTGCCTTACTTACCGTTCATTTATCCAAAACGCAACGAGTTTAGTCATTACTTTTGCATGTGACACAAAGCTGCATAGGCAATCCACCAAGTTGAAAAAATTCTCTGAATTTAAATGCCTTGAAAAATAAAGATAGTGACAGAATTCTATAAATCCTATTGTAACAATCCAAAACAATCTGCTGATTAAAAGAAGCGATTTATTTGGACAGATACCAAACCAGTGGAGTATCGGGAATATTAAGTGGCTAATTGTGCTCTTACGAGACATAATTCTTTATTTTCCTTTTTTACTCGGTTATATTCAAATAGGCATTAGAATGCATTGGAAAATATCTTAAACTTTTAAGGTAAAAAATCAAGGAAATACACTATCCCTATGTGTATCTTTCAATGATAACACAATGTATATCATTGGATATCTGCGTGAAGACTGAGCTTGTGGGAGATGGTCAAACAGGTGCACTCTCCATCAAATCGACCAATGGGAGTTGCTCATAAAATATTTTTATTGTGCGTGCAGATCTCAAATACACCCGTCATATTCCCTTGTAATTTTGTGAAAAAAGGGAACAGGTAAAATATTCTTTACCCACCTCTGATATCGGCAATGTAGCCCCAACAAAACTACGAAGAACATATTAAATATGTAAGAATACGTATGGAGGAATATATTGTTTATCCCAGGAGAGAATGCTTTCAATTTTATTTATCATTGCCGTAGCTCTTCCCAGAAATCGCTCACTGAGTAACAAATGGACAATAATGTTCTACATGAAGAAACTATGGTAATAACAGATGTAGTGACAAGATGTAATGGGCAATCTAATATTATTGATTTTATCGTCTTACATTGCATTGATTTGCGATAATAACAGATGTTATTTCTTGAAATACTTTGCACAGATATAGATACTTTACTATTTTTTTTTATATTAAGAAATCAGAAAATTATTAGTACTTTTTAATGCTAACATAATTTATATTATTCGGGGGAGGCTTACGTTAAACTTGATGTATTATAAAAAATATTCAAATATGCATTCTTGATAAATAAATCGGAACTGCTCACAAAATTTTTTTTACAGTGCTCGCAAATATGTCCATCGTTTCCGTGCATTCTTTGTTCTTGGAAAAAAGAATAATTATTTATTTTTTGCCACTTATTTCTGCCACTAATAACCCCAGTATTGTAAAGAAATGCATTATACGTGTGATGAGTTATGTATATTGTTTGTCCATAGAGAGCATCTTTGATTTTTATCCGTCATTGCTACAATCGTTCCTAGAAATCGTCCACTGGAGCATTAAGCGGGCATAATAATAGTAGGTGTGATTTGATGGGGATGTGCAATGATATTATAGTTTTAGTGTTACATTGCGTTAATCTACAATATTGACATCATGCCACGAATATTAATCCCTACAAAACTGTGTTGGTACAAATATTTGTATTTAATTAATTTTCTGAAATACGTCAAATTCTTTTTAGATGACATTAATGGAAATATCTGCTATTTTATTTTTAACGTGTTAAAAAAGTGAGAAAATATTTTTTCATACTGGATAATAAAATCTCCGGAAACTTTATTCTCAGTTTTATAAAATGTCCATGACTTTTATAATATATAATAAAATCAGATTACATTACGATGTATTGTAATTTCAGAAATGACAATTTAGATTTCTGTTCTACATTTATATTTAGAGAAATGCTGTATTACAAGATGAATATTTCTAAATGTATAAATCTACTGATGCACGAATAACTCACAACATTTTCTGATTGTTGAAATCAATGATTTGTCGATTTTATTGCATTTCTAATAATATTGATAAATATGATCCCGAAGCATTTATAATCTAAAAAATGTTATATCTCTTATTAATATTTTAACGTTTTTAATATTATTCGAAAAATGTTTTCTCAATTCAAGATGGAAGTTCATGTGTAAATCTTACACTAGTAAATGATTGCAAAGATAATTCCATCATCTTTCCAGCTGTAAGTGTCAATTGTTTTTGCGATCTTAGTATGATAAATAATAAAACGCGACTATTTTTAGATTTCATATTATACCATGTAGAATTGTAAGCCGCAAGACCAATTTCTTTGCTCTACAAAGATGAAAGTAATACAAAAATTTCTAATTTTATAACTTTATTGTTTTGTATAATATTTTTTAACATTCTTAAATAAATGTTGTGATATATAACTTGACACATTATTTTTCATTAGCATTTTATTATTGTTATAAAGATTATTTTATTACTAACCTTGGTTTTTAGATGTTCTCCGGCATAACAAAATATATACGCTTCAACGTTAGTTAAAACATAAAATAAAAATGATTTTATTATTTGTTCTACTGCATTGGGACCGCCAACTGCCTGCGATATTATATAATAACAATGTATAAAAAAGGTTATATATTTATAAATGTTTATATAATGTCAGAAATTAATAATATACACACACACACACACACACACACACACACACACACACACACACTATTATATATTATTATTCATGAATTTCGTATGTAAATAAATATAAATGAGAAAGGAGAACATAAATTAGATAAATGTGATATAATTAAACATTAAAAGTTAAATTAAATTTAGCATAATGTTATTTGTTATTATTAGAAAAATACTAAAAATTATTTAGATTTAATAATTGTACTCACTGTTACAACGACAAAAGCTAGACAACCAATCATTATCATATTTGACGCAAATAGCACCAGCGCAATATATGTGAAAAGACTTTCAATGTTTTCTGAGAATTTGATAATCTTTTTATGTTTTCGTATAATTCTAGTTGTTTCGATGGCGATTGATTCATTTTTGCCCTCATCATCGGAGGGTGCGAGTCGCTTCAGCCAATAACGCAGGATATTGATTTGACCAGCTACATGTAAGGTCTAAAAATAAAGAACATGTTGCTTATGCAATTTATAACGGTAAGTTAGTATATAAACAATGCAAAAAAGTACACAGTATACAAAATAATGTTATTAAAATACAGTAAATCAGAAAAGATGGATGTTTGACATTTCAATTTTTAGACACAGTATGTTTAGATAGTATAGAGTAATATAGATTTTTAGAATGCATATAACATTCACATTTGTTAAAACATAGATATTGTTCAACATAGATATTGTATTACAACTTTGACGATATAACGTCATATTTTCAGCTTACCATAGTCAATATCAAAGCGTTCATTGCTCCAGCTGTCCAGGTGGATAAGATCAAAAGAATAAATTCCGACATTACAATGGATTTGTACGTGCGTTGAGCGTTTATATCGAAGGAAAGTTCAATTTTGGTAATTAAAGGTAACTCTCCCGTGTGATTGCTGACGTCAACGTCGGCTAGAAGAACGCCCGTGCTATATCCAACAACCGATATTGTATGAAAAATGAGAATCGCGTTTGTGATACGGTTCGACGTTTTTGCTTTGCTCGCTGTTTGGAGCATGTTAATATTATTATCGACGCAATCGGCCCAATCCTCTTTCATCATAGTCAAGATTTCGATGAATTTTCTATGAACGATGTTCACTAATTATATTGCTAAGAAAGTAATTTTTATTTCTATTTTTATTTCGTTACGAACTCGACCTTCCGACATTTGTTTTTTGTGAACATTAAAGCTCCCACACTTTTTATATATTTCAAATTTAATAGAATATTCTTATAAATTATTGTCTAAAGTATTGTATTACTTACTGTTGATTCAACCAAAACATAAGACATTTAACAAACATCTTGGTATTTGCTAAGAGTTCAGCTAGGCAATCCATTATGTCTAAAAATTCGGCAGAATGCATACGTATTATAAGATAACGGTAGTGAAAAAACTGAACAAGTATCACTGAAACAACCCAAAACGTTCTGCGAATCAGAACACACGATACACCTGGCCAAACGCCACTTAAAGTAAGTATAAATTTCACTGCGCGATTGAGAACATTCTGACGAGCCATAATTTTCTATGCCTCCCTGCTTCTGTCTGTTTTCATATACGTCAGTTCATCAAAGTGTACGACAGATAACAGAATAAAAACTTTTTGCAAGATAAAAGAAATATATTCCAACAAAATGTACGTCTGTCTTTTGATAGAAACTTCGATAAATTATAGTTTAAAATAGTTACCTGAGAGAAATGCTGGATAATTTTCACAAAATATTAGACATCGAGTAATCAATGAAAGATGTCTATTAACTATTCATATCGTATTGCGTGCTCAGGTCGCAAATGGATTTGTCGTTGTTTTTCGCAAATTTGCTGCAAAATAGAGGAAGAAGATAGATTTTCAGTTTCCCCTCTGTTGGACGCTGGCAGTACAGCGGCATATTATCTATTTTAAATATGCAATGATCCATGCAGAGGTAGATACGCGTTGTATATCCGGCAATCAGAAGCGTCCGCGATTCTTCGAAATCCAGAAAATCGATAAGAAGAAAATCGTGTGCAATAATGCGAAGCTTCATCGCATTATTTCTTATGAAAGTTTTGAAAAAAATCAAAATGTTTTAAGAATTTTAACACCGCGTTACCAATGATGTTTGAATATTTTTGTTTTAAATTCTATTGCATAGAGTATATATTTATTGCATTATGTTTTTTTTTTTACAACTTTCTTACAAGAGAAAAAAAGAAAAGGCTATTTTTTCCTCTCTTACACGTTGAAAATATAACCGTCAGTTGTCTACTTTAACACGCAATAATTCGAACAAAGATAGAAGCGACAATCATGTTTGATGATTATCCGCAACTTTCAAGAAAGCTCCGAAATTTAGTGAGAGAAGAATTGAAAGAAACAAAAGCGATTAAGTTTGTTATGGAAGGTTCTATTATTTTGCTTATAATGATTAAAAATATTAGAACTCAAATATATTTGCTATTTTATTTAATAGAAATTATTATGATGTAAGCAGTTGTACAAAATAAAAACTGTTTACAATGTAAATAATTGTGCAAAAATACACTTTAAATAAAGAAATAAGAAATTTTAAAACTATTTTCTATCTTAAAAAAATATGTCATATTATAGTATGTGTATTTGTAACTAGTGATTTACAAATAAAATTAAATTTTTCAAGACTATTTAGAAATTGTCAATCTAGTTATTGCATTGCTAACAGCATTGACAAGTACGACCCCGAAGCATTCATAATCTAAAACAATGAATAAGAATAAAAGTGGACAATTTATCTATAATATTCCTTACGTAATATATATTTCTTCTAATATACATTTCTTACGTAATATATATCTTACACTTGTAAATGTTTCTAGAGAAAGATCCGTCATCTTCCCTACCGTGAGTGACAATTGTTTCTGTGATCTTAATATAATAAACAACAAAACACGACTTTCTTTAAATTTCAAATTGTACCATTCACTGTCGTATGCTGCAATTCCGATTTCTTTGCTCTACAAAAATAAAAAAGCAACAATTTCTAATATTCGTAATAACCTTTACAATCTCTCTTTAAAAGATAAAAAAATGATTGTCTTAATATTTTATTATTATTAAAAAATTATCTTGTCACTGACCTTGTTATGTAAATATTCTCCAGCATAACAAAATATAAACGCTTCAAGATTTGTTATAGTATAAAATAAAAATGATTTCAATATTTGTTTTACCGCATTGGGGCTTCCAATTGCCTACAATATTGTACGAAAAATTAATTTAAAAATTTATTAAATATAAATCAAATATAATATTTTAGCATGCAATAAAAAGTAAACAAATTTATTAGTGTAGAAAATTTAAACAAATAAAATATACAATAAAATATAAAGAAGCAAATTATTTTATTATAACATTAATATTAGCATATTAAGAAATTGTATGCGATAAATTTACTTACTGTTACGATAGGAAAACCCAGCATACATATCATTATTGTGTTTGATACAAATTGAAACAATGCAATAATTGAGTACAGACTTTCAATATTTCTTGAAAAATTGATAATTTTTTTATGTTTTTCAATAATTTTGCTTGTAGTTTTAATAAACGATGTATGATTATTTTCATGAGAAACAAGATTTATCAACCAATGTCGCGTAATTTCAATTTGACCAACCGTATGTAAAACCTGAAAAAAAATGAAGATATCATTAGGTAAGAAGTTAATCATAATTCACAAATAATTGATGTTTAGAAAATAAATGAAATAGACACTCATTATGCCAAATAAAAATCAAACTAAATATCAAACTAATTTATATATCGTATAAGTACTTAGTTTTAATGTTGAGAATTTCGAATATATTTTTATCATTTTAATTAAATACGTCACGAATATAAAAAATTTTCAACTTACTAATGTTAATAAGAAAGAGTTTGTTATTCCAGCTGCCCATCCACAACAAATCAAATGCAAAAATTCTATAAGTAAGATGATTCTGTACATGGACTGTGTTTTTATTTCAAAAGGAATATCTATTTTGGTAGCAAAGGGCAATTCTATTCCATCGTTGACATTGACATTGGTCAGAAAGATGCCAATGCAAAATGTAATAATAGACATAGTGTGAAGAATGATGATGGTATTAGTAATACGATCCGACAATTTTGCTTTATGTAGTGTTTCACGCATGCTGATATCACTATTAGCACTATCACTCCAATCTTCTGCCATGTCTGTCAAAATTTCGACGAATTTTCTGTGAATGATTATTTTTATTAATTATGCCATTAATCACAAGATAATTTACTTTATTAATTGAAATATTTTAATGTGTGTTTTGATGGTGTTTTTGTTGTTCATTAAATTGTATTTACTTACCGCTGATTGAACCAAAACACAAAAAATTTGAACATTATTTTCGTATGTGCAATGAGGGTGGATAAGCACTCCATCAAATCCATAATTTCGGCAGAATATATATGCGATGCAAAATAACGACAGTGAAAAAATGCACTAACTCCCGTTAAAATAACCCAAAGTATTCTAAATAAAGAAACACATGACGCGCCTGGCCAAATACCACACAAAGTGAGCATAAACTTTGATGTATTATTAGGTGTATTCTTACGAATCATAATTTTCTACTTTCCTCTGTTTCTGTTTGTTTGTAAAAAAGTGAATTCGATGATACGTATGACAAATAAGAAAATAAAGTCGTTCTGCAAAATGAAAAAAAAATATATTTCAACCAAATGTATCTCTATTTTTTTTTATGGAAACGTCAGCAGTGTATAGTTCCTAGAATATCTACCTGTGGAACTGTAAAGTTCTAAATCTTCTGCAAGATTATTAAACATCCTACAACTGCTCGAAGAATGTTTATTAAATATTTGTATCGTGTTGTGAGCACACAAAAGCAATTGCAACTTTATTACTTTTCATTACGTACTTAGGTACATTATTTTTCAGAAATTTCTTGGAAGATAAAGGAAGAAAATGGATTTATTTTCTTCCCCTGTTGGGCGATGACAGTACAACCGCAAATTACCTATTTTAAATATGCAATGATTCGTGCGGAGGTAGATACGCGATGTATATCCGTCGTGTAGCTTTTCGAAATCTAAAAAACCGGAAGGAAGAATCATGTGCGGTAACACACAACTTCATGTCATGTTGCTTGTAATTAGATGTATTTTTTAATAACTTGTGTTTTAGCAAGATTTATATTATAATCTAATTTTAAAGGTATACATAATCCTGTGATGCATAAATATAGCGTAAATATTATTAAATATTTATTGTTTATATTCCATTCTCGCGTTTAAATGTTTTATTTCTAGTGCAATGTACAAATGCAAGATATACATCGCATATGTTATTTTTCGTAAACTTACTGCAAGAGAGGGAAAAAAGTAAGACTACTTTTTTCTCCCTTGAACACTGGAAATACTCAAATCAATCAATTATCTTCAAACACGCAATAACTCGAACAAAGATAGACTATCATGTTTGATAATTAGTTGTGTCCACAATTTTCAGAATAGTTCCGAAATTTAGTGAGAGAAGAGTTGAAAAGAACAAAAGCGATTAAATTCGCCATAAAAGGTTCCATTATTTTGCTTATAATAATTGAAAATATTAGAATTCAAGCAAGTTCGCTATTTTAATAGAAATTATTACGACGTAAATAGTTGTACAAAATAAAAACTGTTTACGATGTAAATAATTGTGTAAAAATATTACTTTAAATAAAGAAATAAAAAAATTTTATAATTATTTTCCATTGTATTTTGAAAAATATGTCATATTACAAAATGTGTTTTTATAACTAGTGATTTACAAATAATACTAAATTCTCAGTGATTATTTAGAGATTGTCAATCTAGTTATTGCATTGCTAACAGCATCGATAAGTACGACCCCGAAGCATTCATAATCTAAAACAATGAACAAGAATAAAAATGAACAATTTGCCTATAATGTTTCTTACGTAATATATTCTTACACTTGTAAATGTTTCTAAGGAGAGATCCGTCATCTTTCCTACTGTGAGTGACAATTGTTTCTGTGATCTTAACATAATAAACAACAAAATACGACTTTTTTTAGATTTCAAATTGTACCATTTACTGTCGTACGCTGCAACACCAATTTCTTTGCTCTATAAAAATAAAAATGGAACAATTCTTAATATTTGTAATAATATTTACAATCTCTTTTTTAAAAGATAAAAAACAGTTGTCTTAATATTTTATTATTTAATCGGTTTATTATTTAATCGATTATTTATTAAAAAGATTATTTTGTGACGAACCTTGTTGTGTAAATATTCTCCAGCATAGCAAAATATAAATGCTTCAAGATTTGTTATAGTATAAAATAAAAATGATTTCAATATTTGTTTTACCGCATCGGGGCTTCCAATTGCCTACAATATTATACGGAAAATTAATTGCAAAATTTATTAAATATAAATCAAATATAATATTTTAGCATGCGGTAAAAGATAAACAGATTTATTAATGTAGAAAATTAAAAAAAATAGAATATACAATAAGATATAAAGAAACAAATTATTTCTTTATAGTATTAATATTAGTATGTATTTAAAAAATTGTATTCAACAAATTTACTTACTGTTACGATAAGAAAACCCAGCATACATATCATTAACGTATTTGACACAAATTGAAGCAACGCAATATACGAATACAGACTTTCAATATTTCTTGAAAAATTGATGATTTTTTTATGTTTTTCAATAATTTTGCTTGTAGTTTCAATGAACGATGTATGATTATTTTCATGAGAAACAAGATTCACCAACCAGTGTCGCGTAATTTCAATTTGACCAACCGTATGTAAAACCTGAAAAAAATGAAGATATCACTATATAAGGAATTAATCATAATTCACAAATAATTGATGTTTAGAAAATAAATGAAATAGACACTCATTATGCCAAATAAAAATCAAACTAAATATCAAATTAATTTATATATTGTATAAGTACTTAGTTTTAATGTTGAGAATTTCGAATATATTTTTATCATTTTTAATTAAATACGTCACAAATATATTCTTAGAAAATTTTCAACTTACTAGTGTTAATAGTAAAGAGTTTGTTACGCCAGCGGCCCATCCACAACAAATCAAATGCAAAAATTCTATAAGTAAGATAATTCTGTACGTGAATTGTGTTTTTATTTCAAAAGGAATGTCTATTTTGGTAGCAAAAGGCAATTCTATCTCATCGTTGACATCGACATTGGCCAGAAAGATACCAATGCAAAATGTAACAATTGTCATAGTGTGAAGAATGATGATGGTATTAGTAATACGATCCGACAATTTTGCTTTATGTAGTGTTTCACGCATGCTGATATCACTATTAGCACTATCACTCCAATCTTCTGCCATGTCTGTCAAAATTTCGATGAATTTTCTGTGAATGATTGTTTTTATTAATTATGCCATTAATCACAAGATATTTTAGTTTATCAAAAAAAATATTTTTGACGTGTGTTTTTGATGGTATGTGTTCATTAAATTGTATTACTTACCGCTGATTGAACCAAAACACAAAAAATTTGAACATTATTTTCGTATGTGCAATGAGGGTGGATAAGCACTCCATCAAATCCATAATTTCGGCAGAATATATATGCGATGCAAAATAACGACAGTGAAAAAATGAACTAACTCCCATTGAAACAACCCAAAGTGTTCTAAATAAAAAACACATGACGCGCCTGGCCAAATACCACACAAAGTGAGCATAAATTTCGATGTGTTATTAGGCGTATTCTTACGAATCATAATTTTCTATTTTTCTCTGCTTCTGTTTGTAAGAAGTGAATCTGATGATACGTATGATAAGAAATCAAAGATAAGAAAACAAAACCGTTCTGTAAAGTGAATAAAAAAAAGATATATTTCAATCAAATGTATCTATATTTTTTTTATGGAAACGTCAGCAGTGTATAGTTCCTACTAGAATATCTACCTGAGAAACTGTAAAGTTTTGCAAGATTATTAAACTGCTCGATGAAGAATGTTTATTAAATATTTGTATCGTGTTGTGAGCACACAAATTGTAACTACATTTATCATTGCCTTTCAGAAATTTCTTGGAAGATAAAGGAAGCAAATGGATTTATTTTTTTCCCCTGTTGGGCGATGACAATACAACCGCAAATTATCTATTTTAAATATGCAATGATTCGTGCGGAGGTAGATACGCGATGTATATCCGTTGGTGAATCGTGTCCGCGGCTCTTCGAAATCTAAAAAAATCGGAAGGAAGAATCGTGTGCGATAACGCAAAATTTTATTTATTGTTTATGTTCCATTCTCATATTTAAATATTTTAATTCTAGTGTATGCAATGTACAATGTACATTGGTATATATCGCGCATGTTTTTTTCGTAAACTTGTTGTTCAAAAGAGGGAAAAATGTAAGATTAGTTTTCCCTCTCTTGAACACTGGAAATACAATCAATCAATTGTCTACTTCAAACACGCAATAATTCGTACAGAGGTAGATACAGCAGTAAAACTTGATGGTCAGTTGTGTCTCTTGATCTAAACTGTAATAAAGTAAAAGTTTAGGATGTAAACAATTATACAAAGATATCGATGAAATAAAGAAATTTGTAATCATTTTGTATTATATTTTAAAAAATATGTTATATTATAATATATATTTTTGTAACTAGTGATTTATAAAATAATTTAAAATTTTCTATAATTATTTGGATATTGTCGATTTACTTATTGCATCGCTAACAGCACTGACAAGTATGACCCCGAAGCATTCATAATCTAAAATAATGTTGTCACCTTTATTTGAGAAATTCTTTTTAATTATAATTAAATTAAATTAAGAAAATATATACTTTTATCTTTTTTTTTTAACCTAGAGGCCCTCAGAGATATATTGCCTTTGACAATAAATAGCAAATATTTTGTTTAATTTACTCAAAATTTAGTACTCAGATTTTTTAGATTGCAAATTACAAATTCTAATGTTAAAATTGGATTGAAAATGTCTGCTATAAAAAATTGTATCAGCAAATAACCACAAGAAATATATCATTTTTAAATCAATTATATTTAATATAATATATATTAAACTTAAATATTATTTTTTGTACAGCAGTTTTTATGATTTAAAAAAAACCTTGAGGCCTTTTAAAGAATAAAAGTGAAAAATTTATATATAATTCTTACACTTGTAAATGTTTTTAGTGAGAGATCCGTCATCTTTCCAACTGTGAGTGTCAGCTGTTTCTGTGATCGTAACATAATAAACAATAAAACGCGACTTTCTTCAGATTTTAAATTATACCATTCACAATTGTACACTGCGATACCAATTTCCTCACTCTACGGAAAAATGGAGCGATTTCTAGTATTCGTAATCTTTACAATCTCTTTTTTACAAGATGAAAAGAACAATTATCTTAATATTTTATTATTATTAGAAAAATTATCTTGTTACCAACCTTGTTATTTAAATATTCTCCAGCGTAACAAAATATAAACGCTTCAAGATTTGTTATAGTGTAAAATAAAAATGACTTCATTATTTGTTTTATCGCATTAGGACTTCCAATTGCCTATAATATTGCGTTTGAAAGAAAATTAATAGCAAAAATATATTAAATGTATTAAATATAATATTTTAATATGACATGCAAAAATTGAATAGATTTAATAATGTACAAAAACAAGTGTAATATACAATATGAAAAAAACAATTTTTTATTTAATTTTTATTGATATAAAATGTTATTTTAATTAATATAAAACATCAATATTTATTAATACTATATAATGAATAATATTAATATATATTTAAAATGTAGAAATAATTTGTGATACAACAGATTTACTTACTGTTACGATAAGGTAACCTATCGAACATATCATTATCGAGTTTGACACAAATTGGAGCAATGCAATATATGAATAAAGACTTTCAATATTTTTTGAAAAATTGATGATTCTTTGATGTTTTTGAATAATTTTGCTTGCAGTGATAGATTTATGTTTATTTTCATTATTATGAGGAATAAGATGTATCAAGTAACGCATAATTTCAATTTGACCTGCCGTATGTAAGACCTAAAAGAATTAATAGATGGTTTTATTACGTATCTAGTAAATTGTAATCTACAAATAATTGATATTTAATCTTTTATTTTTAGATTACAAAATCTAATAAATGCTCATATCAAATAAATTTTCACACTTTTCTATAAACTTTTGTATAAATGTACTTGGTTTTAATGTTTGCGTTATTTAAATTGAGAATCCAGAATGTATATTTTTCATTTTAATTGAATATAGTATTAAATATTGATAGAAAATTCTCAACTTACTAGTGTTAATAATAAAGAATTTGTTATACCAGCCGCCCAGGCGCAAAGAATCATATGCAAAAATTCCGTTATTAAAAGAGTTCTGTACATGGACTGTGTTTTTATATCAAAAGGAATGTCAATTTTGGTAGAAAAGGGCAATTCTGTCGTCTCAGTGACGTCGACATCGGCTAAAATGATACCGATGCAATATGCAATAATTGTTACAGTGTGAAGAGAGATAACCGCGTTCGTAATACGATCTGATATTTTTGCTTTGTGTATTGTCTCGCGCATGCCGATGTCACTATTAGCACAGTCATTCCAATCTTCTGTCATCTCTGTCAAAATTTCGACGAATTTTCTGTGGATCATTGTTTTACGTTGTTGATCGTGCTATTAATCACAAGATAATTTAGTATCATATCGTGCAATCTCGTCTTTCCAGAGATTTGTCATCTCTCTGAATATTTCAAATTAATTTTCAATATTTTTATCTATCATAAAATCTTTATTTATAAATTATTAATATAATATATTATAATAACATTGATAGCACAAATAAGAAAGATATTTTGAGAGCACTTTACTACATTTTCTCATCTGTAGAAATCGTACTAATTATATATATTGTTCTAAAAACTAAACTTTCTAAACTTTTAAAAAATAATCTGGTTGCGTAATTAGTTCATGATCGATATTCTTACTTTTAAGACGAAAATTAATATACATATAAATTTTTTTAAGAATTATGATTATTTAATTATAATACCTTTCAATTGGTGCTGTTTATGTCAGTGCACATATAATATTGATATTTTCGAATGTTTTCGATATCGATGTATTCATTAAGTTGTATTACTTACTGCTGATTCAACCAGAATATGAAGAACTTGATAATTATTTTGGAATATGCAAGGAAGCTGGACAGGCAGTCCATCAAGTCCAAAATTTCGGCGGAATGTACATGCGTTACAAAATAACGTAAGTGACAGAATAAAGTAATTGGCATTGAAACAATCCAAAATATTCTGTAGAACAAAATACATGACGTACCTGGCCAAATACCACACAAAGTAAGCATAAACTTCAATGTATAATTAGGCGTAGTCTTACGAGTCATAATTTTCAACTTTCCTCTGCTTCTGTTTGCTCATAAAAATAAATCAGTTAAAATGTGTAACAGATAACAAAATGAAAATCTTCTGTAAATTATGTTCCACTCAAATATATGTCTATTTTTTTCCGAGGAAACTTCCGAGGTAAAGCATAGTTCATAGAATATCTACCTGAGAAACCTGTAATGTTCTGCAAGATTGTTAGACATCCTCCGACTAATCGATGAAGAATGTTCATTAAATATTTGTGTTGTGCTGCGTTCACACAAATTGCATTTATCATTGTTTTTCGCAAATTTGTTGCAAGATAAGGGAAGAAAGTAGTATTTCTTCATCTGTTGGGTGCTGACGATACAACCGCGTATTATCTGTTTTAAATATTGATTGCAATAATTCGTGCAGAGGTATACACGATGTGTATATCCGGTGATCAGTCGCATGCGTCCGCGACTGTTTGAAATTTAAAAACTGGAGGGAAGAATCGTGTGTCGTAATACAAAGCTTCACGTCATGTTACTTGTAATTAAATTAATAAAAGGTGCGCTTTTAATTTAAATTGTGTTATAGTAATATTTATATTTTAATAATATTGACAATAATTTTATGACAGTAATTTTAAAAGTAACTTAGTGTTGCCTAAATAGGTGAAATAATTTGTTACAACCCCGTGTATATATTAGAAAATTAATTGCGTGAAAAGAAAAGACAGAATGTATGGTCTCAACGTTTAGCTTAAATCGAGAATTTTTGTATATAAAGACAATTTACAGGTTAATTAAATAAACAAAATATACTTTTTTAAGAATATATCTTATAGACATTTATTATAAATGCAACTAAATAAAATATTACTTTGAAGAGATTAGAAAAAGATGTATGTGAATAATTTTTTTCAGTTGCATATTATATATTGCTTATTATATATTTATTGCCTATATTTTATTCTCGCGTTTAAATATTTTAATTCTGTTGCGTGCAATGTGTAGTGTACAGTGCACATACATCGCGTATGTTATTTTTCGCAAATTTGCTACAAGAGAGGGGAAAAAGTTGAGACTACTTTCCCCTCTCTTAAATGTTGGAAGTATACCTGTTAATTGTCTACTTCAAACACGCAATAATTCGTACAGAGGTAGATGTGGCAGTAATGCTTAGTCAGTCAACTTAGATAGTTAGTTGTGTTCTCTTCGAAATCTATAGAGGGAAGAATCAACTGTGAAAAACGCGGAAATTTACATTATTTTTTTTGTGATAGAACTATAATTCGAGCAAGTTTGTCTTTACATAGTTATAACTGTTTATAATATAATTATAAAGATAGTGGAAGTTCAAAGAATAAGGATGATTTTATAATCATTTTGTGTTGTTGTTGTATTTGGAAAAATATGTTGTATTATAATGTGTTTTTGTAACTAGTGATTTAGAGGTAAGTCGAAGTTCTCTAGTCGAAGTTCTCAATTATTTAAAAATTATCGAACTGTTTATTGCATCGCCAACAGCACTGACAAGTATGATCCCGAAGCATTCATAATCTAAAACATTATTTTCTTTATTTTACTAAGATTTTAAAAAATTAATGTTTTCTAAATTTATATCTTGTTTTTAATTATGATATTAGAATAAGTAAATATATATGTTTTTGTTTCTAATTCTATTTTACTTCTTATAGATGAAAAATTTAATTATATAAAGCTTACACTTGTGAAGGATTCTAGGGAGAGATCCATCATTTTTCCTACTGTGAGTGTCAATTGCTTTTGCGATCTTAATATGATAAACATCAAAACACGACTTTCTGTAGATTTTAAATCATACCATTCACAGTTGTACGCAGCAATACCAATTTCTTTGCTCTACGGAATATAAAGTATTTCTAATACTTCTTTTTCTTTAGAATTTTTTCTTACAAGATAAAATAAATAATTATCATAAGTTTTATTATTGTTATAAAACTTATATTATTAGTTATTAGTATACTTATATATATATATATATATTATTACATATTATTATATAGTATTAGATATTATTATTATATATTATTATATATTATATATTATTATATAGTATACTTATACTAACCTTGTTGTTCAAATACTCTCCAGCATAACAAAATATAAATGCTTCGAGATTTGTTATGGTGTAAAATAAAAATGACTTCATTATTTGTTCTACCGCATTGGGGCTTTCAATTGCCTGCAAAAATAATAGCATAAATTTTGTTAAATATAAATTACTTATTTTTCACTAATATACAATGAAAAATGAGTGAATTTATAAAAATGTACAATAGATATATTAAAAATTAATTAATAATAATAATATATTATTCATTTATTTAAAGAATTGTGACAGTTCTATATACTCACTGTGACAATAACAAAACCTAACGTACATATCATTATCGTATTTGATACAAACTGAACCAAGGCAATGTATGAATAAAGATTTTCAATATTTTTTGAAAAATTAATAATTTTTTGATGTTTTTGTATTATTTTATTTGTAGAGATTGATTTATCAAATGTATGATTATTTTTATTGTCACGAGGTACAAGTTGCATCAACCAATAACGCATAATTTCAATTTGACCAGCCGTATGTAAAATCTGAAAAAATAAAAAAATTAAAAATATCATAGTACGAGTGAAGTTAATAGAAATAAGTGTATTTAATTCAATTTTTGCGTCTTTCACAATTGACAATTTATAATACATATATATCTTTCTATTTTAATTCAATACAATTTTGAATAGTTTGATGAGAAATTCTAAACTTACCAGTGTTAATAACAAAGAATTTGTTATACCAGCCGCCCACCCGCAAAGAATCATAAACAAAAATTCCGTGATTAAAACGGTTCTATACACAAACTGCGTTTTTATTTTGAAAGGAATTTCTAATTTGTTAACGAAGGGTAGTTCTTTGGTGCTGTCAGTGACATCGACATCTGCCAGAATGATACCGATGCAATATGCAACAATTGTCATAGTGTGAAGGGAAATGATTGCGTTTGTAATACGATCTGACATTTTAGCTTTGCGTGTTGTTTCGCGCATATTGACGTCATTATTAGTACATTCATTCCAATCTTCGGTCATCGCTGTCAAGATTTCGATGAATTTTCTGTGGATGATTGTTTTCATTGATCGCGTCATATTGATTACAAATTATTTTAGCTATCTGTTCATGCAAGTTTATCTTTCCATATATATATAGATTTGTTATCTCTCAATTTTGCAAAGTAATTTTCAGCGTTTTTCGTCCACCAAAATTCATTGTTAATTATTAAGGTAATGCAGACAACATATTAGACATAAATAAAAAATATTGTAACTGTATTTTTGAATGAGAATGTTACGTTCAATTTTTTTCATCTAAAACTAGCTGAATTGCATATGTGACATCCATTATAAAAGAAATCATATTTCGAAGTTAAATATAATTTCAGATTGTCATAATTCTACTTTTAAGTAAAAAGCTATTGTAATATTTAAAAAAATTATAGTTTTGCAATTACATTACCTTTTATTGGAACTGTTTATATATATATATATATATATATATATATACACACACACACATTAAATGAAAATTTTTGATAGCGTGCTTATAATAAAATGTGTTCATGAAATTATGTTATTTACCGTTGATTTAACCAAAACACGAAGAACTTGACGATTATTTTGGAATATGCAAGGAAGCTGGACAGACAGTCCATCAAATCCAAAATTTCAGCAGAATATATATGCGTTAAAAAATAACGATAATGACAGAATAAGGTAACTGTCAACGAAACGATCCAAAATATTCTGCAGAACAGAACACATGACTGGCCTGGCCAAATTCCACATAAAATAAGCATAAACTTCAATGTGCGGTTAAACGTACTCCTACGAGTCATAATTTCTTATTTTTTTCTTGCTTTCTCATGTGCACATAAACGAATCCATTAAAGCGTATAACAGAATAAAAATCCCCGGGTGGATGAAAGAAAAGAATATGTTCTGATCAAATGCGTAGGTTTCAAAGATTTCACATATAGAACACTGAATAGAATAGAACACTGCGCGAAGAAAACTGAAATATTCTAAGAAATCGTCCGGCAGGTTCCGGTAATCTTCGACAATTGATCGCAAATAAAAGTGCTCATTAAATATTTTTATCGTATCGAGTGTAGATTGTGAACACGCATTTTGTCATGGTTTTTCATAAGTTTAATGTAAGAAACGGAAAGATAGATGAGGTCGTTTTTTTCTTTTATCTCGTGCTCTGGAAATACAATTGCGAATTGTCTTTAAATATGCAGAGATACGTGCGGACGTAGATACGATGATGTATGTCCGATGGTCAACCGTGACCACGGTGCTTTAGCAAAGTTTTAATCTCTAGAGAATGAAAAGTACAACTACATGTGCAACGTTACTAAACTTTACATTACTTTGCTTGTAATAACTAAAGTTTGACTTGTGTTATAGAAATATTGAGAAAAACACAAATATTTTAAGATTAAGAGGTACAAGATTCGTATTTTAAAATATATGTGGAATAATATTTTCCACGTAACTAAAATTTATACAAATAAACTTTTAAACGAATCTGAATATTATATCTCGTCATATTAAAATATGTAAATATGTATTGTATTTTCTATATATGCAAATATTTAGTATTTTTTTATAACGCGTATTGTATTTTATGCCATAATTATTTAATTTTTATTTTCAATTATATATTATTAAAAATACATAAATGCGTCCAATTAATATGAAAATATAAAAGTAACATCACACTGCGTTTGTTAATTTAATTTTAATAGTCAACTAATAAAATTATTTATATGAAATAATATGATCAATTAATAATTTTTAGGAAATAGGAATCTATTAAAATATTCAAATAATGTAAAGAATGATTTATCTTTTTATATTTTTCCATAAATTATTACTGCCTCGGAATACGATCATGAAAATATATGAAAATAAATCTATCTTTCTATTACTAGTGCAGAGATTTATATAAGATACTTGCTTCACAACTATTGTATAAAATTCTTCAAATAAACAATGTTGTCATTGCATTGCTAGCAATACTGACAAATATGATCCCGAAGCTTTCATAATCTATAATAAAGTACAAACTTTTAGTTTTTTACTTTTAGAAATTAATATCTTTAAAAATTATAATTTTATTATAAAAATGGCATTTTGCATATTGCTATAAAAAATAACGTGACGAGCCGGTATAAAAAGATTTATATTGATAAAAAGTTTATGTAAAAATGATCTTGTTTTAAATATTATGTACACAAAATTATTGTCCAAAATTATTTTGTGCGCAACGTATGAGTCTTACATTTGTAAACGATTCTAAAGAAAGATCCATTATCTTTCCAACTGTAAGTGTCAATTGCTTTTGCGCTCTTAATATCACGAATATTAAATTACGGCTGTTTTCAGGTTTCATTTCGTACCAGGCGGAATTATATGCCGCCATTCCAATAGCTTTACTCTAGAAAGCAAAGATTGAAAATTAAAATATTAGAAGTTAAACGAATTGATGTATGTTATTATTTATTTATTTTTTTTTATTCTAATTTGATAGATTCAAAATAATTTAATAGTAATTATTTTTATAATATTTATTCCGTGTTTAACCTTGTTTTTGAGATATTCTCCCGCATAGCAAAATATAAATGCTTCGAGATTCGTTACAATGTAAAATAAAAGAGACCGTACAATGTGCTCCGTCGCGTCAGGGCTGCCAATTGCCTGTAACATCAAAGCAGGCAATATTAAATTATTATAAACATATCTCCAAAATCATAAATAAATATTTGTTAGATTAATGCACATAACAAACTCCAGAAAATTTATTATTGAAATGATTAATGAAATGAATTATTATGTCTATATGATACTTTTACTTGCCGTTATAATGAGAAATCCTAATGAACAAATCAGCACAGTGTTCGATGTAAATTGCACTAACGCGATGTATGTATATAAATCTTCAATATACTCCGAAAAATTAATGATCTTTTGATGTTTACGAATGATTTTACTTGTCATATTGCTAATAGATTCGGATCTCTCTTTATTCCCTATCGGCACGTTTAACCAGCAGCGTAAAATGTCCATCTGACCACCTACATGAAAGGTCTAGAAATAATAACCACGCGTTGCGTTTATCAAAGCGATCGAAATTCGCAGAACAGATATGCATTTGAAGCGAAAAAAAAATATATAATTTTGAGACGATACATTATTTAGCAATTATTATTATCACTACGCTTTATTTGTCGCAAATGCATTTCGCATGCACTTTGCATACATTATAATTTATTTACCAAAGTTAAGAGCAAGGTGTTAAGTAGGCCATTTCCACAGCCGGCCATGATGAGATGCACAAATTGCATAGCCAGTAGCATTTTATACTTGCGTTTTGTGTTTATGTTAATAGGAAGCTCCACCTTTAAGAGGAGAGGTACTTCGGACTGAGCGGTGACATCGACGTCGGCCAAGAGAATGCCAATACTATACGCAACGATGGTTATTGTGTGAAGAGTGAACATCGCATTGGTGATACGGTTTGCTAATTTAGCTTTACATGCTGTTTCACGCATGTTGACATTGTTGTCAGTGCAATCATTCCAGTCTTCTGCCATCATCGTCAAAACCTCCAGGAATTTTCTATTAATAATTGGAACCATCGATTATTCTGCTTGCTACAAAAGAAAACATAATACACAGAGGTTTGTGTATCTAGAAAAGCAATCAGTATGTTGCGAAGTATTATTAGATAACTATATGTTAATTATAACAAATGTTAACTACTATCTTATTTAAGTTATATTTTTTTATATTTTCGGACAAGATAAAACAAATATCGCTGGTCGATAAAAACTAAAAAACAAAACAAATATTTATGTGAAATTTATTTATCAATTTATTTATCTATTTGTGTATATATTAATTATAACATAAATAGAAGTTATCGAAAATGATGAAATAATTTATAAATAATATATATTTAACGCGAAAAAACAATACAAAGTCTAAAAATACAACGACTCTCGGAATTGTGCAAATAATATAAAAAAATAAGTGGTTAATAAGAATCAAACGCTGTTGACGATGCGTAATTAAAAAAGGTTTTTTTCAAAATAATTACGCATCGTCAACAGCATTTGATTCTTATTAGCTGTTTATTTTTTTCTTATATATTCAAATTACTTACATATTATATAGTTACTTACCGTTCATTTAGCCAAAATACAATTAACTTAACCGTAAATTTCACTTGCGTTAAAAAACTACTAAAACAGTCCATCAAGTCGAAAAGATCATGAGTGTGCAAATGCATTAGAAGATAACGGTAGTGGCAAATTTCATCCGTTGCTAACGCGATAATCCAATACGCTCTGCAGATTATAACACATGTCGTGCCTGGCCATACACCGCACAGAGTGAGCATTAATTTTAACGTGCGATTAATTGTACTTTTTCGTTTCATAATTTTTTTTCTTTCTCTTTGCTTTCTGTTTTTACGCAAGAAAAGGCATCGATCTACGCGCAACAGGACGTACACCTTTACGAGAAATAAAAAAAGAGCTTGTGTTCTCTTTCTTCGTCTCACTTAATATATTTCACAATGAAGGCTCGATGTGTATTCTACAATAACTGCATAAAGACTGGGAGGTACTAAGAAGTCATCAAATGGACGTATCGTGATCAGCCAATAAGAGTACCTCATTAAATATTTTTATCTTGCCCCCTTTAATGTAGCCCTCACTCGCGTACGCTTGCCGTTCTCACAACGTCAATACGAGAAGAGGGAAGACCACGTAGGATCAGGATTTCTCCTTCTCTTAAACGCAAGCGCGTATTATTCGGTTTAAATATGCAATGATTCGTGCGAACATTGTGCGCGTTTGACGGTCGATCGCAGTTCACCGTACTTTAGAAAAGTTTTCAAGTTCAAGCGCCAGCAGCCAGAAGCGGCAGAGAAACTCAAGAGAGTGCGGAGTGCAAGTATATAAGTTTCTTCGCATTCGATGCAGTTCTAAGCGTATCTGTGTGCGACTGTGTGGTATTAATAAAAAATATCAACAGGTGTAATATTAAATGGAAAATGTGAAATGTGAAAACAATGTAGTGTTTACTTTGATGTGTGCGGAGAAATGTTTGAAAAAATGTGAGAAACTGATCACTAAACAGAAACTTTATAAGTACATGTAGTTTTTTTCGCTCTAAAACTAAAAAAAATATCACGAATTTTGTATAAAAACAAGGAAAATCATTCTTCGTTATTGCTACATTATTTCATTTTATGCGCGCACTTGCACGCATTGCATTGGTTTAAAAATACATATTTAAGAAAGATATTTATATAATATATAATGTTTTTTTTTTAATATATTTTTCTAAATAGTAAATCAATGTCTACATGATTACTTGTTTTTTTATGGTTGTTTGAAGAAATAAAAAATTATTTTTATTAGTATTTATCTCATTGCTAGTAGTACCGACAAATAGGATCCTGATGCCTTCATGATCTATAACAATGATGTTTCTGTTAGTGATAAGAAAGAATGAATATATATATTATTATATTATATAAAATATGATTATCATAAAAAATATTAATAATATAAAATGTATACGTTAGATATAAAAATAGGCAAGTATGTAATAGTATCTAAAAATTTAATTTTACAAATATATTTTTTATAAAAATTATATATTTTACATTTGTGAAGCACTCTAAGGAGAGATCTGTCATCTTGCCCGCCGTGAGTTTTAATTGCCTTTGCGATCGTAAAATTATAAATAGTAGAATACGACTATCCTTAGCTTTCATATCATACCAATCGGAATTGTACGCTGCGTTTCCGATCGCTTTGCTCTATAAAAATAAAAATAATAAAAATAGAAATTATAGTATTCTTTTCCGCGATATTGGTTTTAATATTACAAACGCGGAATTATCTATATGTTTTCTTTATTGTTATCGCAATAATCTTCCGTTGCTAACCTTATTGCTCAGATATTCTCCAGCGAAGCAAAAGATAAACGCTTCGAGATTCGTTACAGCGTAAAATAAAAGAGATCTCACTATTTGTTCAGTGGCATCGGGACTACCGATTGCCTACAATATTGAAACGATATTGGAACGAAACATCTTCATGCATGAAAAGTTATAAATAGTAATTTAAACGTAACACTTTAATTAATGCAGGAGATAATAGAGTAGAGATAAATGCGAAATAAATTTATTAATATAACTAACATTAAGATGGCATGTATTTATTTTTATATCTAAAATTTAATGAAATAATTTTACTTACAGTTACAATAAGAAATCCTAATGAGCAAATCATCACTGTATTTGACGTAAACTGCAACAAAGCGATGTACGAATAGAGATTTTCAATATTCTCTGACAGATGGATAATTTTTTGATGTTTCCGAATGATTTTCGACATAACGATTACAATCGAGTTGTGCTTTTCCTCGATATCTTTAGATCCAATCTTCATTAACCAGCGAAGCAGGATATTTATTTGACTGCCCACGTGTAGAGTCTAAGAATAAAGATTTTACCAAGATCTTGTGGTCAAAATTATTTATTTTATCTTTAAAGGTAAGAATAATGTTATAATAAAAATTAAACTTAGGAAAATGCGAAAAATACAAGAGAAATACAAACACAAAAGTTAACTTAAATTTTGTTCGAATTTATAGCTTAATTTTACAAATAATTTACGATGGAGTATTAATAAAAGATACACATATAAAGATATGTAATTATATTTTGCTTATGATACTTGCTTATGTAGATGCAGGTTACCAGAGTTAGAAACAGAGCGTTGAATAAGCCGGCTCCCCAACTGCACACCATCACGAAAACGAATTGCGTAGCTAATACCAGTCTGTACTTGCGTAGCGTGTCTATAACGAAGGGATATTCCATTTTCATCATAAGAGGCAGTTCGGCCGTTCGATCGGTGATGTCAGCATCGGCCAGAAGAATGCCAATGACATATGCAAACGCGGCGACTGTGTGAAGAATAATTAATCCATTACAAATACGACTCGATAATTTTGTTTTTTGTGTTGTTTCACGCAATG